GACGAGTGCTCGAATGGCAACGTAGGATCGGCAAATGGCGTCTTGTGACGGCCGCCGCCCAGCAGCCTAACAGGGGAGGTAGCAACCTCGTTGCCCGGGGCTATCTATTGATCAATGTTTAAACTTACAATATTCTTTTCGCTTGATTTACGTCTAGGCCAGTGCTATCTGCTGGTATTCTGTTGAACTGATCACCCTTTTTGCCAGCATTCAGTGCAGGCAGTAATGTGCAATCGGCATGGTCGGCATCATCTTTCCGATCCGTAGACAAACTATGTGAATGCTGTGTTCCGATCTTTGCGTCCAGTTCGTATTGTATATTGAGATTGAGAATGGTTTGCAATTCTTTTAAAATGCCTGAAAACAGTCAATGTAGTTATGATACAAGGCTGTGCATAAATAGAATTGGACCACCTCGGCCTGATATAAAAAAAATACAATCTGATAGAAATGGCAATCGTTCTTTTGTACGGAAATTTCAAAGGGGTAAGTGACCATAATAATTTTAGTGGGAATTTATCCATGTGTTCTCTCTTTGATTGTAAAACGTTCCAACAATATAAAGAAAAATTCCCCCTACAAAGGGTTGATCGCGTTTTACAGTTCTCTCCGTTCGTGAGCTAGCAAACTTAAATCTGATATGGATGTGCTATATAAAAGAATCCGAGAGAGATTTTCCCACTTTGAAAGTATTATAGACATTTTTAAGAAATACAATGTCGGAAGAGAGATTGAATGGACTTTGTATGTTTTCATTATAAAGAGTTTTGTTACGAGACTCATTTAATTTTAAAAAATTAGTAATAAATTTACAGAATGTAAAAACAGAAGACTCGATTTAATTTATAGAACATGTGTTTAGCCTGTCTTCCGGGGAGAAAATTCGATTGTAATTTTTACTTATGTGACTTAAACAATCCAAATATAACAATATTTCAAATGCCTAACTTTATTTGATCCTGTAACTTTGTGTGTCCTCCCTGATGCCTAATCCCAGAGCCGCCACTGCTCCACTTATCGAATTGTTGGTGAAGATCCCATCCAATCGCTAGACAGGCAGAATAATCAGTTGGTTTCCAGGCTCTTCAAAGAGCAAAAATGATTCATAGACCAAATACAGATTAACTTGCCATAATGGTATCAGCCCTAAGATACATGATCTTGTAAACGATCATAAGCCTGATAATCCCCTTCGACCCGTTGTTATCTTTGTTAACAACCTACATACGAGACTGCCAAATTTTTTAAGCAACATCCTCACATCACTAACATCCAATGTATGTAATATCAAAGACTATTTTCAATTTTTTCAACGAAAAGACTGGTTGACGCCATCTTCCGAGACGGACGCATCTGGTTGTGCTTTTGAATTTTTGTCACTTTAGCTACTATTTTTAACGATTTGAATATATTTGGTGTGTTTAAGTCACCACTTTCATTACTTGTTGCAGGTTGGCTGGATAAATACGTTCGGCTAGTCTTTTGCTATTGCCAAGACAAACCAAAATATAACAAATTTTAAATGGTTACTGGAAAATTAACGAACTTAAGATTTACGAGTTGGTGATAGTGTCAAAACCTATAAACAGATTAATATCTTTACGATATTATATCAATGTGATAATTTAATTACTGAAAGATTTTTATTTTATTTCTGTGACGAGTGATGATTCCGTTGATTTAAACTTTACGAGGACGGTGTATCGAACAGTTTTGAATTTGTTCCAAATTTAATTTATTCTATATTTTGACGACAAATTTTGAGTTAATATATTTTATCTATCTGCGGTATAGTATAGTCTACTAGTTGTATTACATAGTACCAGCTTAAGGTGGTTAGAACGAGATATTTGTTAAGTTTAACATGCCTTTTTTATTGTATTAATCGAAAGATAAGAGGTTCTTCTATGTTCTGATAGAGTTTAAATCGATTTCACCGTCCAGTTTTTGCGCAACGAGACCGTAAAAATTGCTGTTTTAACATGGGCTCTTATGGTGACCTGAGAGATCTGACCTGAAATTTTAATATTGTGAGAAAATTAACTGTTGAACATGTTTTTAAAAACTTTTTTTTTTGGTAGCTAGCATCTCGAAGAATCAACATGCGCAATTTGAAGGAAGTCTACCGTTTCAAATGCGAGAATTGTGCAAAATTATAAGCCTAAATCAGTCCAAAGGGAGACGTTCGCGCGCTTTCTAGAGGGTCGCGACAGTGACGCGCATCTCGGCAACACCGCGCGCTCAACGCGCTTCATTCAAATCGAGTGACAAGACTCGAGTTCATACATTCGTCTGGGAGCAATTAAAATATCATCACTCCTGGAGAACATATGTTTGATAGTAACCAGCTATTCAGAAAACTGGAGTTTTATGGATATAATGATTAGTGCGATCTGAATGAAAATCTTAATTCAATTAATATTCCTAATGACTCACATTGATACTACTCCCTGAGAAAATGGGTGATCTTGAGAGTTTACAGAAATGTTTAAACATTCAGTACAGCCTTATAATTTTGTATTGTCCCGTACGTCAGTTTCTTGCTCCTGAACAATGATTATTTATTTAATTATTCGAAAAGTATTCACATTTATTTTTTATTATGGGGATACACAGTGGATTGTCATTGTCTTTTGTACCACAGATGCTTACACAGAACTCGCACAATATTTAGCATAGATCAGCACCTCAATCCGTATTGCTACTGAAAGGGCATTCAATTCAGAAAGAAATAAACTTTGTAGTGGCTCAAATGTGTTGTAATGATAA